CTCAGTTGAGGTCCCCTTCTCAGAGGACTCTAGGCTGTGTCAAGATGACAGTCAGAGCTAACTAGGATGAGATGTCAACTTAACTTGTGGCTCCTTCACATTGTCATCCTATCTCAGTGAAGGAAATAAGGGCTATGAGAGCCATAAAAAGGTGTAGACAGGGCTGGAGAGATGGCTCAGAGGTTAAGAACACTGACTGTTCTTGCAGAAGACCTGGGTTCAAATCCCAGAACCCACATGGAAGCTAACAACTGTCTGTAACTCCAGTTCCAGGGGATCCGACAGCCTCTTCTGTCCTCTTCAGCCTCTTTCTGTCTCAAAAAGATAAATAAATAATAAATAAATAAAAATAAATAAATAAATAAATAAGGGTGTAGACAACACAGTGAAAATATGGACATCTGAAATGGGCCGAAGATGGCGAACACTGGACATCTAGGGACCTTCGAGTCAGCTAATGATGACTGACAACTGATATTCAGAGAACCTGGAATAAGCAATCATTTAATCTGTTGTATGAAAAAACAACAAAATGATAATTTGGTGTGAGTTTCATATAACTTGAGATCAGCAGCAGATGCCTTCATCTGGACTGAATAAAGCATTTCACATCTGCTTATGGCTCCTCACACTTTCTTTACCCTCCTAGCTTCCTGCAATTCCCCTTCCCTGACTTCAGAGCTCTGACCTTTCACTCAAGAACACCACAACAAGGTTAAAAGGCCTTCCCAGAGAAGTATGAACGATAACTAAATGACCTCACTTTAGTCATGTATCCATTCCTAAAATGTCCACAGTTGTCCACTTGGGGCATTATCATAATAAGCTATATCAGTGCAATGTGTCCTCCCTGTTTCAGGGAGGGTAAGTTTTAGCTCCCTCTAAACCACAATGATGTATTTTCCCAAAAGAATATTTCATTTATGAAAATAAATTTGAAGGAAATAATTGACAGAAAGATATAGCCAATATAGTCCACTCCTCTCAAACATAGTTTCACTTTTTCCATTCTGGCTATCCTAAAGGGTTCTTGGGTGAATATCAGGAAATGTGTTCTGATGTAAGAATCCAGGAAACACAAGGACTTCATTGTCTCAGCATCCTTGGGCTGATTCTGAAACCATTGTGAATCCAGATACCACAAGACTGTGAGCAAGCAGATGGATAATACACCTGATAGTGGCCTCCTCTTGTACGGAACAACTATAAACATGCCCTTGTATAGGGGGTGTTGCTATCAGAAGTCATGTATTTTGAGCTCAGGTATCAGTTTTCTGGCATTACTGGGAGAAGTCAGCTACCAATACATGAAGACCTTGAAGAAAGTTCCCAAGTCCTACTGGAATGTTGGTTACCTCATTGCCAGGTAAATCAAAGACAGTCCCTGAGTCACTGTAATATTCTGCTGTCACTACATGAGCTTGATACAACTATCCCATGCTCAAAATATGCTCACCCCTCCCCCAGACAATGAAATCCAAAATCTACTTCAATTATTGCTTTTGGCTCCATGCTTAGAATGTGTGGGTGTCCATGAATATGTACAAATACAGCTCCTCATGGTCAGTGTGCAAGGATAAAATGTGCACAGTCAACCCAACACATTTGTGATGCTTAGTTTTTAATTGTCAGCTTGCCACAACCTAGAATCTGGGAAGACAGCTTCAGCTGAGGAATTTTCTAGATCAGGTTGGCCTATGGGCATGTCAGTGGGCGGTTGTCTTGATTGTTAACTGATGTAGGGAGACCAACCCATTGTGGGTGGCACCATTCTGTAGTCAGGAGATCCTAAGTTATACAGAACAGGAGAGGTAGATGAGAGGCCCAGAGACAGGCAGTGAGGGTGTGTTGGTTTCCCTGTCCTCTTGACTGTAGATGTGGTGAGACTAGCTGTTTGAGTTCCTACCTCGATTTCTCCTCAATGATGGACTGTGTGACCTGGAAATTTAAACCAAGTAAACTCTTTCCTCCTCTAAGACACTTTTGGAAAGGGTGTTTTATCACAGCAGCATAAATGAAACTAGGACAATATTCACCATTCGGCATAGAAGAAGAAATGAGATAAACAGCTTCCCACTCAAATGAGACCTGAGGGGAAATAAACGCAATGTCGATAGATCCTTAATGCAGGAGCAAGAAGGCTTTGATTTTTTTCCCAAGCACTTGTTTATATCCTTTCTCCTTTTTGACCATATTTAAGAGAGATGTCAATCTAAAGATTTGGTTGGAGGTCCCAGAATGGAATCTCTCTAAGATGTATATAATTACAGATCCCTGCTTGCTAGGTTTGGGGGTTTCTCTGACTGTACAAATTTTTCTTTCTTTCTTTCTTTCTTTCTTTCTTTCTTTCTTTCTTTCTTTCTTTCGTTCTTTCTTTCTTTCTTTTATTGGTTTTTTTGAGATGGTCTCCTTGTAGCACACACAAAGATCCACGTGCCTCTGCCTCCCATGTGCTGGGATTAAAGGTATGGGCCAACACACCCAGCCTGTACAAATTTCTTAATACTTCATGCAGCATGAAATCAGGAATTCTGTGAACTAGTAACCAAAAATAGAAATTATGATTAAGTTTTGTTCTTGGCCCTAGACCTCAAAGTTGGGGTTTCTGTTGTTTTTTATGTTGTTTTGCTTTGTTTTCTGTCTTAGAAACAAGCTTCATTGCTCTGTCTAGCCATCTAATTCTTACACCAGTCAGCTTTTCCATCTTGTTTTCTGCCTTGTGCAGTGTAAACGATTGGCTGTGGAGATGAGGCACCTCCACTACCGAGACCTTTTCTCCAAGACTGAGTCCCTGCAGGTGGATTTTTGCAAGGGCACTTCTTGCCTTTACCCACAAGGAATACACAGCGAATGCTCTCTGCTCCATTCTGTCACGTTGGGCTTCTTTGGAACGAAATGTAGTTCTTTCTCTAAAATATCTTGAAATGTTTTCTTGAATATTTTTCTTACTGATTTTTTTGTGTCTCTATTTCAGAAGGACATTTATTTTCTTTCAATATTTCCAAGATATCATTGTCTTCTGACATCCAGTTTTCTTTGAAAAATACTATGTTTATTATTAATGTCCATTTGAAAGTAATAAGTCCCCCCCACAGTGCCATGGTTGCTTTTAAGATTTTTCTCCTTATCCTTAGCTCTCATGTTACCACTCTAGGAAGAGTTTTGGTTTTGCATCTGCTTGGGAGTTTCCTGTGGCTCTTTCATCTGTGGCTATGGATGATGGCATTTTGAAATATTCTCTCTCTCTCTCTCTCTCTCTCTCTCTCTCTCTCTCTCCTTCTCTCTCTCTCTCTCTCTCTCTCTCTCTCTCTCCCCTCTAGGAGTACACTGAAAATCAAGCTTTGTAAGGACTAAACTCTAGCACCTAGTAATTTTACTTCTTGACTGGACTAATGAGATCTGTGACTGATAGACACCACCTATTCCCAGTCTATCTACCTGCAAGAAAATATTTTCTGCAAGGTGTAGTGGTGCATATTTTTAATCCTGGCACTGGGGAGGCAGGGACAGAAGATCTCTGTGAGTTCAAAGTCAGCCCACTCTACATATGAGTTCCAGGCCAGCCAGGGCTGCAAATGAGAGCCTGACTCACAAAACAGAAAACAAAACAAACAAAATACTTTCTGAATGAACAAAAAATCTAGTTAGAAACCTAGACAGACTCAAACTAGACAGTACAAAATCATTTGATCCACAGCACTTAATCAATCATCCCCTAAATGCTTTGATATTTTATCATTTAGTTAAAATGAATAGCTATTCCCTTAAAAAATGATGGATGAGCTGAGCCTGGGGGCAGATACCTACAACCCCAGCATTGTTGCTGTGACTACAGTCGGGCTTTCCTTCCTCCTTCCTCCTCCTTCCTTCCTCCAGGAACTTGACCCTGTTACATTTTGGTTAAAACTCATTTCTTGGTTTCACCAACCTCCCTTTTCCTCAGTTATTGAGTGGTGATAGGGATATCAACCACATAGGGATGTTGTGATGATAAATGGAGATCGTATCTTTAAAGTCACTAACTCATTGCCCACCTGCTGGCTGCTTATTTGTAAGTGCCTAGGACTCTGGGCTGGGTGATATAGTGATGGGAGGCAATGCCAGAAATGAAGAGGAAGGTTTATCACAAGTTCTAGAAAAGGATGAGAGGAAGAGTGAGATATAGCTGGAGAAGGGGTCGAGGCTGAAGGATATAGAGCTGGGGGGGGTGTACAGGAGACTTTAAGGCAGATGGCCACTGGGCTCAGTCAGCCATAGCCAGTCATTGGCTTAGAGAGACTTAAGGAAACCCTTGGGGAAGTGCTAATTGCTGGAAGAAACTTCTGTTTCCAGAAAATATCTTTATTTCTTTTATCTGAATAAGCAAGAAATGAAGTAAGTTCTTTTCTTTCACCTTCACTCACTACATATATCAACTTTATTATTTAATCAGATTTTAAAAATTTATATATAAACCGTATACCTTTGGAAAGAAAAGCAGGTAAATGGAATAAAAAACTGAGGAAGAACACAACTGGATAGAGATGGAATTAAGGCAACTATAGAAGGCTCCAGTTTCCAACGTACAATAAGAACAATCATTGTGTATTCCCTAAAGTTGTATGATAGACAGTCTAGGCTCTTTGGCTGCACAGATTTGAGGGCAGTCTGTTTACCATGTGGCTAAGGAGGACAAGATGATTAAGGTATGCAGAGACAGTTGAAGTTGAGGTGTGTATTAGTCACTTTTCTGTTGCTGTGATAGAAACACTGACCCAAGCAAGTTATAGAAGGAAGAATTTATTTGAGCTTACAGTTCCAGGGGGAATTACAGTCCATCATGGCAGGGAGGCATAGTGGCTGGAGGTGACTGGAGCAGGAGCAGCAGAAGCTAAGCTCTCACATCATCACACAGGCACGGGAAACAAGAGAGCAACTGAAGATCTGGCAAGGCTTAAGAACTCTCTAAGCCAGTGACATGCTTCCTCCAGGATAGCCACACCTTCTAAAACCTCCCAAAACAGCACCATCATCTGGGGACAAAATGTCCGAATACTTGGAGTCTATGGGGGACATTTTCATTCAAACCACCACAAAGTGAAAAAGACCTCTCAGATGGTCACACTGTTTTCCACCATGCTGGGTTGGAGGTACTCCAAGGGCAGGTCCACGCCTGCATTTTGGACCTCAATCTCCTTATCCATGAAAGCCAGCTCCTCCTGGAATTGCATCAGCACAGCTTGAGGCCCAGGACCTGAGAAATAGTCCTCTTTATGCTGTCCCAGGGCTACCTAAGAGAGAGAAAACAAAATGGTGTGGCCCCTTGGACTTCTCAACCAAAAACACCACTCCTCCTTCAAGCTGCCTCCTCCCTTGGGGCCCAGGCATCTGTGTCTAACCATGACAGGCTGGCGTCTGCCAAGGAACTTGGTGAAAGTCTTCTGCAGTCGAGCCTGCTGGAGACTAGGCAGTGAGTCCACTATATCTGTCATATCCTTGGAGGTAGGTGGGGGTTTCTGCATGGTGCATGGGCCATTGGGGATCCAGGCATACCAGTCCAGCTGCAAGGTAGAAAAGTCACTCAGAAACTCAGGCTGACTGCCCAGACATTTGAAGTTTCTCTCTATCTCCTATGTCCCAGAAACCCCTGGGGGATGTTTACACAGATTACCTGACCCAGATGGGTAGAAGCATGTTGACCAGTGCATGTGAAGATGCACATGGTAACAAAATAGCACAGCTGATCCCGGGACTCTAAGGAGATGAGAAACCTGGACAAAATGAAGAGTCAGAAGATTGGAGACCAGCATGAGGCAGATCTCAGACAGGCAAAAATAGCTGGAGATACATAAAGCACTTGCAACGGTTGTGGCCTCTAGAGTCTATGGTTTACACAGTGTTCACTCAAAAACTGATGCAATTAGGATGGACCTTGGAGCTATGAGAAAAGGATAGCAATGAATAAGGGAAAATACATGAGATATAATGGTGCTGGGTCCAGAGAAAGTTCTGTGCACACAAGGAGAGAGAACATGTATGAAAGGATGAGAAGACAAAGGAACCAGAGAATCCAGGAGTAGCCATTAGGATCTCTGGACATTCTAGAGAGATTCAGGGAATTCCCAGGGTCCTCTACGAAGAGTGTCTTATGATGTTGTCAGATGTGGGTTGTTGAAAGATGTATGGGCATTGATAGCAAGCCACTTGGGAGGACCCATGCCTTACCCCCGGTCCTGGGCCCCCTGCAGCCCAATCTCACTGATCTCTCTGCACCAGGCCTGCAGCTCTGGATCATTTGTCACATCTGTGTCACTCTTGTAGAACAGTCTGACCATCTTCTCTATATACCTGCTCCTGAGAAGAGGGTGCTCAGCCTCAGGTGGCTAATATAGGGCCTTCTGGACCCACCATCACCTGCAGTTCTTCCCCCCTCCACTCCAGCCCTCATGTCAGCCTCACTGATTGATGATTTCCCATAGCCTGAGAACATCTTGGCCATAGAGGGAAGATTTCACATCCAAGAGCCCACTGTCTGCCAGGTCATCCGGAGGGCAAAAGGAACAGTAAATCAAACAAGCTGTGGCTCTCTGGAGAATGTCCCCATGACCTCCTCTCCCTGTACTCACCAGCTGAGAACAAACCAGGGTAAATCAAGCCAGGGTAAATCAAGAGAGGGAGGGATATTGGGACCAGCAGAGTATTTAGGTGTGAGGCAATTGAAGGACAGCCTTCAGGGCAAAAAGCAGAGTTTGGAAGAAGAGTGGGTAAGAGAAGCACCCTTGAGAGTTTTCCATTAAACCTTCCTCCCTCTTCACCCATTCCTTTCCATACCAGACCAAAAATTCCCCATTCAGAAACAAGATTAGTCTGTGCCAGGATGTTGATCTCCATGGTGTAGCGGAAGTGGGGGACCAGGAGCTGATTATGGAAAAAGAAATGAGACACAGTCAAATGAAAACTCTCAGGATCCTGAGGGCAAGAGAAGTGAAGGGCCTGTGATATTAAAGGAGGGGGTGAGTTTATTGAGACTGAAAGATTTCCTATTGTAAGACTGGATCTGGGTCAGGTTTGGAAGAAGAGAGATGGAGGAATATCTTCTCAGAGTTCTCCAAGATCAAAGGTTCAGGAGTTCACTTGTTTGCAGTCTCAAGTTCTTCATCAGAATTCCAGGAATCTCTGATTTCATATCACACACACACACACACACACACACACACACACACACGAGGATCCCCACACATGATCCCCATCCCACACTTGCCTCAGGACTTCATTCTTACAGTGTCTTTCCCCTCCCTTCCTCTTCCCTTCTCTCTCTCTCTCTCTCCAATACCCTGTGGAAGAAGCCCCTTCCTTCCCAGCAAGATCCTAATCCTTCATTTGCTCGTTTCTGTGAAGAGCCATCTGTGCTACCTCGACTTCCTTACCTCACAAATTCTGCTCAGCCTACACCAATCAGACTCTGGCCTCTCCTCCTCCTTGAGATAGCCCTTGTCAATGAATTAACCAATGGTTTCTATATTGACAAATCTAAGTATTCTCTTCTCTGTAACTGTGTTGACTTCCCAGCTGCATTTGAGACTCACACCCATTTTTTTTCTCCCAGCTGTACTGTGGTACCAATCCTAAATTCCCAGAGAGCTTAATCATGTACAATAGTTTTAGATTCTTCTGTTTCCTGACAACTCTAAAATGTCTATTTTTAACTCCTTCCTTGTAGATGTGCCTTCTCTCCTAACATTTTCAAATTGATATCTACAGGTAGTGGGAAATCCACCTGGTCAAAAAGAGTGCTCTGGCTTCTCCTTTATCAACACTGCGACTTCTTTTCCATCTTCTTCCACTTTCCTTCCTCCTACTTAACACGCTAATCAAATTCCAAGATGTCAACAATACCTAATATCCTCCATAACTGATGGCCCTTTAATTCCTTGCCTCTACAGATCACCTCATACCTCCCTACCTAGCTGACAACCTCCTCAGTCCAAATTCCAACTCTTTTGTAAACTTAGTCTTGGTCTTTCCTCATCTCAAAGCAAGTGTGTGTCTTGAGGGTTTTCATAGCACACTGTGTGTACGTGTGTGTGTGTGTGTATGTGTGTGTGTGTGTATGTGTGTGTCCACATATAAACTGAGATTGATGCTTACCTAATATACCACAAGAGTAACCCCTGGGTAGATGGTTCCTGAGGCTGTGTGTGAACTGTGAAAGACAGATGCAGAAAGATAGAAATACTGAAATACCTTATAGATAGGATAGGATAGAGGCTAGGTAAGCTCCTCATTGTGGCCACAGAAATAACCTCAGCCATTAGATGTCCCCTTAACAGATGTGACTGTAACTGGTACAGTTGGAAATCAGAGCTACCGACCCATATCTTGGCCAGGAGCCAGGCCATTGGAGGATCTGAGGGTAAGAAGAGCAGAGGTAGGAGGCTTCTGTGTCGAGGTGGCTGGAGCTAGAGCAGGAGAGAGAACAGGAGCTGAGAACCTATGTGTCTAAGTCCCTAAAGGGGACATATGTCTAAGGAAAGACACAGGGCTTCTCTTGCCTGGATGACCATGGGTAAGAGTCTCCCATCAGGCTGTAGCTTCAGCATTACCAAAGGGGCTGCCACGTACTGATGCTTAAAACTGATGATGTTAGGCTTGACTCCATCCAGCAGGGAGAAATCAGCTTCAAATAGACACCCAGCCTGTGGAACTGGGGTCAGGGATCTATGAAGGGGCTGCAGTCAGTTCTGGACCTGCCTTTCTTTCATCATGGGTCCTTCCTCTACCATCCAACTCTTTAAACAACAGCTTTCCCCAGAGCTAAAGCTCAGAGTGCAAGATTTGGTGCCTGATGTCTTCAAGCGCCCTGAGTTAAAGCTCTGTCTTTCCACCATGTACCAAAATTCCCAACCAATGTCCTTGTGCACACACAGGTTTTAGTCAAATGGAGCACAAATAATTCCTTTACTACCCCCGCCCCATCAGTATATCTCTTCAAGGCTCTGTTTAGTCTTCTTTTTCTTTTCTTCCCCTTGTTTTGGGGAGGTCTTTTTGAGACAGGATCCCACTTGATAGCCCTGGCTAGACCAGGTTGACCTCAAATTTGTGTCAATCCTCCTGCATCTGCCTCCCAAGTGCTGGGTTTACAAGCATGAACCACCATACCCAGCTTGTTCGGTTTTGCATTTCCCTCCAGAAGTTCTTCCTTAGGATTGAGGCTGAGATAGGTCTCAGGAAAAAGAAAATAAGGAAGGTGGATATGAAAGGGGAAGAAAAGGAGCTAAGTGAAATTATATACATCATCATTTTCAACCACAAGTAATTTTGCAACCCTCCCCCCACCCCCTGGAACATTTGGCAATGTCTAGAGGCATTTTTGGTTGTCACAATGGGGGATGCTACTGACCTCTATTAGGCAAAAGGCAAGGATTGCTACTAAAATTCTACAATGCCTAGGACAGCCCTCTATTAACAAAGAATTATATAGCTCATATTAATGACTTACCACCAAAGTTGAGAAACCCTAAGTGCTGATGAAACCCATTACTTTGCGTGCTAACCTAAAAACGTAATTTAAAAAGGAAACCCTAAATGCAGATGCAAGGGGGCATAGATGATGGAGGTGTGCATGAAGAAGAGGGAAGAGGAGTGAGGATAGATGGCAAAGTGGTGGGACAGTGATGAGGTAGGGGGTGAACAGATGTGGCACCTGGAGCTCTTTCTCCAACTGGGTCTGAAAGTCTTCCATCCCTGGAGGCAGCACCGACTGGGTTGGAATCCTCATAGATCCCCTCAGGAGCATAGGGTTTGCACTGTTGAGGAACTGGTACCCAAAGAGGGCATCATCCTTCCAAGAATCACAGACCTGCCCTGAGGGCATCAGTCAACATATTGTGAGCAATGAGGTGCTCCTCCTGTTAACCAGTCTTCCATTCTCCTATCCTCTCTCCCCTCTTTTTTCTGATCCCTGGGTTGGAATTCTGTAGAGATTTTGAAAGTTGTGGTAACTGACCAGCCAGAGCAGTCTTTCCACGAGGGAATATCTTTTTGTAATCCTCCAGTCTTTGCACAGGATTTGCAAAATCTAGAGTCCCCTTAATGGCCAAGTCCTTCAGCCTGTGCAAAGAATGACACACAAGAAGATCAAGACGGACTCCACCCTGCAGTCTAGGAAGAAAGTGCACAGCCTCAACCAAGTACTCACACTTTTGCCAGAGAGAGGGTGAAGTCTAAATCCTTATCCTCCATGAACCTCTCATTCCTGGGACGATCCCACTGCGAGTTCCCTGCTATGGGCAGGATTAAGCTATCTTTCCAAAAGCCCCACCTTGAGGACGAATACCAAGTCGTACTTGGGGCAGTGGGTTTGGGAGACCTAGTAGGGAATTGGAGGCTTTCTGGGACTCACCAGTACACCTTCCTTCTGTCCTCCAACTCCTGTTCTCGGTGTTTCTTAAACAGATTCTGGAGGTCATCACTCACCGTCCGGGCTGAGAGAGACAGAGATACGAGAGCTTGCTTCCTCCCTGGACTCCACTCTGTACCAGGATCTTTCCATCTGCCCTCCTCCTTCATTGCAACCTTTGCTTCTCCCCTCTCCCTCATCTCTCTAGTCGTTTCCTTTCATAGCATCCCCCCGCCTCCACGACTCCCGGCTTAATCCAGCTGCACCCGCTTCCCCAGAGCCCTCACCAGTGCCCTCAGGTAGGCAGATAATGCCGTTGCTCTGCACCCAACTGTAGCAGGGGAAAAAGACTTCTCCTTGAGTCCCAGGTCCCAATACGGTGAACCACTTGCAGAATCAGTCAAAATCCAACAGGCCTTTGTGTTTGCGCAGCTTCACCAGCAGGAGGCGCCCCAAATGCAAGGGGACGTTGATCTCCAGCTCTGTCTTCTGCAGAACAGGAGAGAGCTCACAAATCCCGGGTCCTCAGCCAGGGCATCCGGGTCAGTGAGCCTTCAAAGAAGCTTAGCTCCGCTTGCCCCTCAAAGTACCCCAGGGGAGAGACCTGAGCAGGTGGCGATGACGAAGGAACAGGGCGCTCTATTGGGCTCCGGGCTCCCGGCCCCTAGGCACCTGGGTGCACCAGCTACGCGCCCAGCGTTGTTTCATCCTCCCTCTTTTTGCCACTCATCTCTCCTACTCCTTCCGCTGTCCCTATCAGTCAGTTCACCTGCGCCTGACATCATCCCCAGTTCCAGCTTCCCGATGCTCCCACGGGATCAGGCTCCAGCGCCTGCGAGCTGCTGCTCCTCCCTGCCCAAGTACCTAGGACACCTGGGGAGTCCCATGCCCTGATGCTCTCTGTGCGCTCAGCCTCCGTCCACGCTGACCTTTCCCCGCAGCGGCCGCAGCAGCTTCCCAAGATCCGCCTCCCGGTGCTCGCCGACTAGCCACGGCTGCACCAGGTTGCTGGAGCCTGCCAAGAGCGAGTCTCCGGTGACCACGCGGACCGTGTACGTCCCCATATTGTCTGGTCCTCTAGAGGGAGAAAATCAGAAGTTAAGAGAATCCGCGATCCAGCCCCCGGGAAACCACACCCAGACCAGAGTCCCTGGTATTTGGGTTCCCACGCCCACAGGTCTCTCCTCGTCCCAGGTGCAGGCTTCTGGTTCACCTTTGCCGTTCATAGCGTTTCTGCCAGCAATTCCCAAAGGCGCAGTCCCACTCCATCCACTTGGCAAGGGCTCCCTAATACCAGTTTCATGGCCAGCCCTGAGCGCAACATACCGGAATGCAGGTGGTGACAGCTCTAGTCTCATCCCCATCCGATTTTAATGAAAACCCGAATTAGAGATCAGCATCAGAGGAGATAAGAAAGCGGAATGGCTTGGACAGTGGGAGTGTTTTTCAATGGAAAGTGGGTACACTATCTTGGCAAGAATGCAAAGCTTTCTGTTGAGGACAAGAATGGCATAATGCTGCACAGAACTGCATTTGCTTGTTGTCCGGACTCCATAGCCAGGAAAGAAAGCTCGGAATGCCCCTTCAGTCATGGAGTTTCCACTGGGCCATCCTGAAATGGGATCTCTGAGTCCAACGCTGAGCTGAGTGCCCACAATGTGCCCCGTGGGTATGCTCCCTTCAGGACTAATTCTTCCCACCCCACCTCCCAGGCTTTGACACCCCCCACCC